GGAGAGAAGGATGAGAGTCAGATGCTCTCAGATGGGCACCACCTCATATGCGAGTGGTACAAATGTTACAGGAGCAGGCTGAAGTGGCAAGTATGCATTGTGGTGAGTGAACATTTGTAATTACACTGAACTTCTGACCATTTGATGCTGCAGTTCAAGGAATCAGTGCAAATATCCAGGTTGGGATTTCAATATAAAAACAGTGAAACTGAATGAATATCAGCATTGCTGAACTTTGCTCCATTCACTTTATTACTGATTCTACCTTAAGGGAAAATAGTCAATGAGGTTCATAGGTAACATTACGGCCAAGATTTCTCGGAGACATCTTACATTTGTGTACTTTTTAAAAACTTGGGTACATACAATTCAATTCAAGTTATATCAAATCTAGCACCTCTCTTGAGGGAATAATATTTTGTTTATTGAACTAATCAGTTACCAAGGGAATTTGAAAAAGCCAGTGAAAAACCTGGTTTAAAAAAGTAGTGTTTCTTCATTCTACAAGAGCTGGAATCTATGCACCTGTACTCCATTTCAGAACTCAAGTACATGGAGATATTTTAATTTTAGACAGGTTGAACACCAGCATGAAGCAATGTGAAATAATTAGAAAAACATCCATATTTCTTGTTTTCTCCCCCCACCACACCGTCTCCCAAGGCACTTCATTTGGGATTGATCATTCCTAAAATGCAACAATGAATGTAGATAATAAACCTGGATAGCAACATTATCTTACAAATAGCAAGGTCTCAAATTAAAAAGATGTACAAGTCATTTTCTTCTTTATGAGTAAAGACTTGGGAATAAATAATGGCCTTCGTTTCCGGATGGTACAGCCAATAGACTTGTACACTAACATCACATGACAATCCAAGGGAGGAAATGCTGCCATTACTCATTGTCTATTGATAACTAATAATTAGGTTTTATTGTCTTATATAGAAGAGAAAAAAGGCTGTCTCAAGGATGGGTCAAATTTTACTCATCCTGCATCAATAGCTGGCTCTATAGTTCCAGCTGTTCCTTTAGTAAAGGATGTTTTACATATTTAATAAAGCATCTAAGGGAAAATGCACATTCCATCTATTACGGGAAACAAGAGGGACCTTTGCTGAATCACAATGAGCGAGTTTCAGGGAATATAGTGAATCAGCGATTCACTAAGACAAAGTAGCAAGCGAGATGGCTTTTACTGGAGGTAGCTGTGAAGTCATTCCACCACTGCCAGCCCCTCAATGCTCCTATATGCATTATTAAATAAGTTTGGATGTAGGGGTTGGAAAAAGAAAAGACAGTAACGTACTACTTTTCAAAAAAAGGGGAGAGGCCAAACAATGTTTAACAACTTTACGATGCACTGTATTCACTCTGCAGGCCACAGTATTAGACTAAACCCAATGTTTTCATCCAAAAAATAGCTTATGTCACGTGATCAGTCTCTTAAGGTGACACTTCATGCCCACCAAACAGTAGGGGATTCAAAGGTCAGGTGAGGAGGAAGATTAAACTGAAGGTAGCAGCACAAGTCCAATTTACAACAAGCCAATAAAAGAGCTTAGTTGGAAGTTAAAATGCCATGCAAGCAAACCAATTGGAAATCAGGATACTTTTATTCTAGTTTCATACTGAAAATCTACAATAAGATCAGCGCACAATCCAAGTTTCCACTGTCGTCACTAGGCTTCCCATCGCCAGTATTCACCAAGCCTCTTGTCCAGTCCAGGCACCATTGTTTCTGGTGTCCTCAGCACCAGCTCCAAATTTTGCTTCCACCTGCTAGTCCCCAAACATCACTCCTAAAAAGGGTTGGCTACAGTCCTGTTTTAGCCAATTGACGCTGATTAATAGTGAGGTGAAAGGAGTACTATTACCAAAGTGTATACATCATTAAATTGACAAATAGCAAGTGAAAGCCAATTAAAAAATTTTTAGCAGAAAAAGTGAGAACAAGCAAACAAGAGTGGTAACTGACCAGCAGTGGCAGATGAAAGCAACCTGAAAACAAAAAGTAGAGTGGCCGCCTTGGCATTGGGGAAAGGACAAGGTTTAAAACAAATCTGATTCAAACAAGGCACTGTTTTGGTGGAAATTAGTGCAGCTTGCATGGGAAATTCAAAGCAAGAAATAGAAATTGGAAAGAAATTGGTAAAATTGTGTTTAAGTTTTTTTTTTAAAAAAAGGAAAAAAGTCAGATACAAAACCAGCTGCTGATATAGGATGCAGAAAGTTAAGTTACCACTTAAAACAGACCAACGAATGACTGTCAAGCTGAGTACGTGTGGTAACTTGAAGACAGATTCTTGGAATGTGGGCAACACTAGCAAAGGCATCTTTATTACCGATTCCTCAGTACTATGACTCATGCCAAGTAAAGCTGTTGTAACCATTCAAGGCAGCATTAAAACCACACCCAGATTGCTGACTAGGGACCAAACCCATTAACAAACATCACATTAAAAAGGAAAAAGAAACTCAACCCAACAATTCTATCCACCAGAAGCTTTACCTGACATATTGCCAATTATTTACACGAGAGACACATCTATGCATGTACACCAGTTACAAACAAAGCAGCCTTTGGATAATTGCAGCTCAACAAAAAGCAGAATCAAGTTGCAATATGTTAGATTTGCATAATTTGTGTACGATGTTTAAATTCACTGGATATCCGTGTCCAGGACTGAATCTTAAGTCAGTTTAAAAGTCACTCCACTGAAGTAACTGCTATTAAAGTCTTCAGACTCCTGTCCCAAAATAACATGATCAAAACTGATGAGCAACCATTTCACCCTCCCCTCACACAGATGCTCCAACCTGTGAAGATTTTCTAATTTCTGGAATAACCCATGCAAGATCAATCCGAAAACAAAGCACAACATCCCAAGACTCTCAACCCGGCCTTTCCTCAACAAGTTACCAAATAGCTGATAAAGCAAGACAATAGTGCAGGTCGTTTCCATCTACATACCAAGAGACTGTAACCCAAGTTACTTCCAAAAACTAGGCAAATACCTAACCCTCCCTCTACTGACCCCTTCTCCCGCTTCCAACACACCCCCTCCTCCTGGACACCACCCCAAGGCCTCCTACCCTCCCTCGACCTCTTCATCTCCAACGGCCGTTGAGACATCAATCGCCTCAACCCCTCCACCCCTCCAACCTCTCCCCCGCAGAACGTGCAGCCCTCCGCTCCAATCCCAACCTCACCATAAAACCCGCGGACAAGGGAGGTGCAGTTGTAGTATGGCGCACTGACCTCTACATCGCCGAGGCCGGACGCCAACTCTCCAACACCTCCTCCTACCGCCCCCTTGATCATGACCCCACCCCTGAGCACCAAACCATCTCGCAAACCATCCACAACCTCATCACCTCAGGTGACCTCCCACCCACGGCCTCCAACCTCATCGTTCCCCAACCTCGCACTGCCCGCTTCTATCTCCTTCCCAAAATCCACAAACCCGAATGCCCTGGTCGACCCATTGTCTCCGCCTGCTCCTGCCCCACCGAACTGATCTCCAACTATCT